TAAGTGCTTTTCCTAAGTAATACTAATCTAGTCTGGCTCTGTGTCCGTGTCCCTGCTGTCTCCCATATGTCAGGAGAATGGGCAGGAAGCGTAAAGCATAATATTGAATAACATTTCCAACTGCCTCATTTCAGCTTCATTATGGAAACAGCTTGCACACTCATCTGTGGTTGATAGTATTTAAATAGGTAGTTAGCCATGAGGAAGAGTTTTTGGGTTCTTGTTACATCCTTTCTTCCTAAAGATAATTGAATAAGGGCTAACTCTAGATTTTTATTTTTTCAACCAAAGCATCAATATTTTTCTTCCTTAATGAAAGCTGAAATCTAGTTACGTTAACCAGATTGCTGCTTTTCTTTTAATTCCATGTCTGCTTTCAACCCTGTTTATTTGGTGAGCATGATGTGTAACTTCATTACATGTACTCACCCTTTCATGAGAACTGAGGGCAGGAGCTGCGGGCAGCACAGTGGGGGCAGGGGGTGGGCAGGGTCTGCCCATGCTGGTGAGGCATTGGTACAGGCTGCCCGGGAGGTAGTGTTGCAACTGTCTCTGGCAGTGTAGATGTGATACTGAGGGACATGGTTCAGTGGGCACGGTGGTGAGGGGTTGATGGTTGGGCTTGATGATCTTAGTGTTCTTTTCCAACTTTAATGAACCTATGATTCATTCCTTGGCCAGCAGCACGTGCCTGGGGCAGAGGCCGCAGCCTGAGCGTGGCAGACAACACTCCCTTACTGACTTCTCCACCTATTAATTCTATCTGCCGCTTTCCACTTCCGCAGAAATGTTGGGATGGCTTCGTTTGAACCAGTCCTGCTGTTGTGAACAGGGATGTGTGCAGCGCTGGCTCGGGATTAGTCATGACGGCATTTGCAGGAAGTTTCCTTCTGTGCATAAAGTCCTTTCTGTTGTGCACTTTGTCACCAAGTCAGGGCAGTATTTCCAGTAAAGCTGTAACTCATGTTATGAGAAGTGATGAAATGAACTGTCCGATATCTTTAATAGTTCTGTGCTGTTACTTTAACAAGACTTGAGAAAACTGTCATTGAAATGGCTGCTGCACCGGTGGAAGGTTTGTCATATTTTTCCCTGTAAGTCATCCTGACAGGTGACATGGGATGAGACCATGCAAACGTATCAGCCTTGCCAACAAGCTGACCTTTTCCTCTTCATTCCCTTAATTTGTATTTGACTAATTTGCATCCCTGTTCCTATGCTTCCTTGTCTGAGGAGCTGTCACAACGGCTGGAGCTGATTTCATGACAAAACCCAGGAGTTTCAAACCACGATTGTTTCATTATTCATGAAAACTTGTGTTACTTTGTTCCTCCTCCCACACAAGCAAGGTTAGCCGGAGAGAAACGAAACCTATTTTGCATTTGCGGGATTGGCTATTAAATATTTTTACACAATGCAGTGTTTTTATACAAATAACTCATGATTTATTTAAAACAGTCCTTGTAGAAGATTTGGATAGCTCCCCGTCAGGCAGAGTGGCTTAAAAAGGATCTCTGGTCCCTTTTCCTGAAGCAAGTATGTGGTTAAGCTTTGGGGTTTTAACATCTTGTAAGTTTTTCCTCATGCCTAATTACTGTGAAGGGCAAAGAACTGGGTATACAATTACCCTTGCACAGTGTGAGCCGTCGTTGTCAGAGCTACTCACAGTAAATCGAATGCCTGTTTCAATCTCAATTGCCTTTCATTTTACTTTTCTCTATATAGAATTTCCAGATTCCTTTTGCAACAGGCAAGGACAAATAAGGGGAGAAAAGAGGTGCAGAGAGCTCTTCACAAGAATCATAGGTCATTGAGTAACTGTAGATGGAAGTGGAGAAAGACTTTAACGGCTCTAATATGTTTCATTTTTATCATTTTAATGCAGAGCACAGTGACAAAGTTGGGCGATGTTCAAGATGTTGTCGTTCACTGCCTTCTGCTTTCTGCTGCTTTTGGGATAAAACCAAAACCATTAAGTGGATCTGTGCAGATCACATAATTTTTTTTTTTAATTCTTCTTTATTTGGTTATTGCAACCCAATGCCCAGCGTGTCTGCTTGCTCCTTCAGTTAACTTGCTTTGGCTGTTGGTCATTTATTCATTCAAATCTTGCTGGTGAAATGCTTTGTTTGAGGTAGGAACAATCATAGGATCATGGAATGGCCTGGGTTGAAAAGAACCACAATCATCATCTGGTTGCTATGTGCAGGGTCGCCAACCAGCAGACCAGGCTGCCCAGAGCCACATCCAGCCTGGCCTTGAATGCCTCCAGGGATGGGGCATCTGCTGACTCCGTATTAGAAGTGAAGAAGCTGTGTTTTTGTAGGGGGACAGCTTTACGAATGAGCGACTGATTTAGGTTAAGGCATTTATATTTTTATTTGATTTTTAGGTAAGTCACTCCAGTTTACTACACATTGCATAGGCTGGAGAGTAAATACTGAAGTAATGCCATGGACATAGAATGCAGAGAAAAAAATTCTATATTAATATTTTTAGATCAAAAGGAAGCAGAATACTGATGGTGAAAAATGGTTATGTTTAAGTAGGAGTTAGGATTTATTTTTGTCATGCTGCAGCTTGAGTGCAACTAACGTCTTGAAAAATACTATTTATTTCTGTTTATTGTTTTCATATATTCTGCCCACAGCTCTATCCATAATATTGCTTCCTCTGGTATTTTCTCTGTAGTTCTCTTTTTCTCAGACCTCTCACTTTCTAGCAGATGAGTGCTCTGGAAGTTTTCTCTTTCTTTTCAAGAGACTTGAGGTGTCACTATACTAAATACACCTGTACACAGTATAAATGAGAGCATCAGTAAAAACAGAAAAATTAGTTGTGGTCTGAGTACCAGAAGCCCTGTAAAGCCATGTTGCCTTGCCTTTGAGTTTAGTACAGGTAATTTCAGAGCTGTACAAGTAAATGTTGTTTAGCAAAATCTCGCCTGTATTCCTGAAGCTGAGGTGGATTTGTTGTGGAGTGTCTGGGGAAAAAAATGCATACATGCATATTTAATTTCCAGAGAAAAAATTACCATATTGCCAGTAATGATCCATTAACAAAAGAATGCAATCTTAATGCCGTCAATTAAATATTAAATGTTGTTGGGCAGGAATATTTTTCTAATATATCACTCACTTAGAAAAGTGTGGCATGGTAAATAATGAGCTGTTCTCCAGATCCAATGGGAGATGGATTCTAAATATGGTTCACTGCTCAGAAACTAAGATAATTTGTTGTTGAAATATGAATATAGGTAACTATGTATGAATAATTATATAAGAATTTAAGCGATGCTCTATATACAATAGTAATTAATTACTGGCTTTTCATCTGACCATGTGGCACCGAGCACAAAGTATCTTGGAAGCAAAGCTCCCATTGCACCTCGTCTTCCACACGTGCAAAACCCAGGGAACTGCACCACCATTTGCAGATCAGTGGTTAAAAATCAATAAGAATTCAAGTTATTGTTTTCAGACCTGAGTTTTGTTTTGTGTTTTTTTGTTTTAAATCCACACTGCAAAATGTGTCCAGGTGTTTTTCTTTACATTCTTTGTTCTTGGCTTGATTCCTGCACTTTCTATGATCTACTTTCAGCAGCTCGTTTTAATTTTTTTTTGTATGCCCAGCACTTGATGGTCTTTGCATGCAAATGAAGGAATCATAATGATCTCTTGCTGAACAAAAAATAGCCAAGACAAAAAACATCCCTTAGAGAGGAATAGATTGATTTCTTGGACTTCTATGATTCTTAAACATGAAGTTGAGGAAAGACACGACCAGCAGAGGGGGTGGCTTCTAGAAGCAGTATTTGTGCCACCAGTGCCGTATTTGTGTATATTAATAAGGAAGGAAGCCATGGAACATTAATGACTTCTCCTAAGATTTTTCTGGGGGTGATGCATGATGTGCCTATAATTCACCTTTCCACAGTAAACTTGTTAAGCTTCGGATGATTCCTTGTTTTTATGAATCTTTCCTCGCCTTTTTTCGAGCTCAACGTTTTCTGTAATTGGGCATCTTCTATAAGATGGACAGCCTGGCCTAGTATTAGATATGGAGGCTGGTGGCCCTGCCTGTGGCAGGGGGTTGGAGCTTGGTGATCCTTGAAGTCCCTTCCAATCCAATCCATTCTGTGATAATTAATGCTAATTATAGAAAATATCTTCTGGTCTGGTGGGATTTCAAAGCCTTTTCTTGTTGATTTCTGTTATTTTTCTTCCGGCACCATTTGGAATATGTTTCTATCATTGATAGATGCAGAAATAGAGGAAGAGTAAAAGTAATCCTGTGTAATTTGTGAAATGCCCTTCTCACACCTCTGTTCCACTGTAGGTGCATTTCATCATCAGTGGTTCTAAAAAGCCGTAGCTTGGTCCTGTGTTTTCCTTAAGTGCAAAGTCATCTCAAGAGCAATATATTTTAATTCTTCCCTAATTATTTTTCTATTTCGGACGATTCAGGAAATGAAAGCTGTTTTGGCAGCACAGTATATTAGATCTGCTATAACCACATTTCATGTGATGTGAGCTGCTCTAAATTGCCTTCTAAATTAGATTAGTGATTTTAGTTTAACATATAAGTATTTAGTATGCATTACAACATAATATATTTAATTTAATTTGCTTTTATGTCTCACCATACATTTAATAAAACAATTATTTAACCATTTGGTACTGATGAATTATACTATGGTATTGAAATTAATATGGCCTGTAGTTCATTAACATACATTAAGCAGAAGCAGATAGGTTCTCAAAGTTGAAGAGAAAGGTCATATTTGACACTTAGTACTGACATCATTTTGTCATTCTTTCCCGAGTTTTGTAAGGAAAAATTCTGTGGAAAAGGTAGGAAGTGGGCTTGTAAAAGCAGAGAAGTGCACGTGGCTTTCAAAGTCAATGTTTGGGTCAGGACACGCTTTTGTACATAATATTTTGTAAAGTTGTTATAAATAAAATCCTTTTTATTTTTCTCTTTTTTCCCCTTTGCTACAGTATGGCTATTCAAGTTGACAAGTTCAATTTTGAGAGCTTCCCAGAACCTCCTGCAGATGGGACACAGTATGCGAATGCAAAGCAGCTGGAGGAAGAAAGACAACAGGCAAAAGGTCTGGAAATTAACAGCAAGCTGGATATTTGCTGGAAAATTATATCCTTTCATAACTACTTGCTTTAAAAATACATAAATAGGTGCCCTATGACATTTTATTTAATAATTGAACTCACTTTGTAAGTGTTACTGAAAAGAAAAATAATTATAACTATGAACCTTATAATAATTATAGACTGTTTAAGGTTAATTGTACTGTATGTTGTTTAGATGATGTCTGGATCTTACTATAATAGGCTTTTTTTCTGAATCATTGAGCCATATTGAAACCCTGTATGCTTTACCCAACATTTAGGGAACTGAGGAAGCATAGAATTGATGAGAAGTAGTTTTATGCAGCCAAAATTTTCAGTTCTCTCCCAACACTGTGTAAGTGACTCATAAAGAAATACATGAAGCTGGGTTGAGAAAGTTTTCATATATTTAATTAAATTTCAGCAAATCAGAACATATTAGAATAATTTCTTTCTAAGTCTTCTTAACAGGTGTAATAATATATCTAATCTTGGATAGCTGTCTTAAGGCTTAGAAAGGACTTCAGTGATGACTTAGTCATCCTAAACATAAAATCCTCATAATAATTCTAAATGCAGTAATATATTCTTTTATTAACACTAAGAGTTTACATTAAGCAGCTTTCACATGCATTCAGTTTAGAGTTAGAATAAGCCAATGGTGTTTTTGTAAATTTTATGATTTCCATTAAACTGTTACACTTTGCTTCCAGAAATACACTTTTTCCCTGCCATCAGGGAAACATTCCCTGCAGCCAGTATTCCCCCAAATCGTGTGTTGATACTCAGCATCCTTCAGGAAACTGATGTTTTTTATTCAGATTATCCTCACATCTGCTTGATGCCAGGAATTGAGAGAAGAGTGGCAATCAAATCGTGGTTTGTCCTTAGAGATGTGTTTTTGTGCTTATAATTGTATTTTATCTAGTGATCTGAAATGATTTTTTTTTTTTTTTTAATTCCTAATTATTAAAGCTGCACAAATCTGCACAGGATTAGTCAAAGGGAAGACGTGTGATATAAATGAGATTCCTAGTGCCTATTTCCATCCAGACTCCCTAGGCAACATTTCAGAAAGAATTCCATTTGTGCAAAAATGTCAATATTTAACTGGAACTTGCTCAGAAAATTTTTCTGTTATGGAGAGATATAAATATTCTTTGATAGCATAGCTGAATTCTCATGTCAGAATTGAATGTGCAGTTGTATTAATTTTGTCAGGGTGTAAAACTACATCCTCATTCATTTCTGTTGCTGAGCAACACTGTTTACATATCTTTGGTGTTCTGTATTTAAACCCAGTTTTAATATTCAGACTATCATGGCTGACACATAAGTCAACGCCTTAGAAAATTAAGAAAATAATACAGAAATTCTGTTTGTCAAATTAAGTGCAAGAATTAGTTTCAGTGCTTTTAAGATTTGTTGTGAATATTTTCTTTATTCCTAGAATGAAAGGTGCTCTAACATGTAAGGCACTGAATTACATCTCTGTGCTTAAAAATTCTTGAAGAAGCATGTGTTGTTCGGTATGTTTCATGTCTCAATTAGAGTAAATCTTCCATAGAATCGTAGAATCCTTAGAGTTAGAAAGGACCTTTAAAGGTCATCTTGTCCAACTCCCCTGCAATGAACAGGGACGTGCACAGCTAGATCAGGTTGTTTTCAGGGCCTGATCCAGGCTCACTTTGAAAGTCTCCAGGGATGGAGCATCCACCACATCTCTGGGCAACCTGTGCCTCACCACTCTCAGTGTAAAAGGCTTTTTCCTTATATCTAATCTACATCTACCTTCTTTAAGCTTGAAGCCATTTCCCTTGTTCTGTCACCACAGATCCTGCTAAGGAGTCTGTCCTCTTCTGTAGCTCCTCTTTAAGTTGTGAAAGGTCACTATCACGTCACCTCTGAGCCTTCTCTTCTGGGCTGAACAGCCCCAGCTCTCTCAGCCAGCCCTCCCAGGAGAGGTGTCCCATCCCTTGGATCACTTTTGTGGCCCTCCTCTGGATGCGATCCAATGGATTCATCTCTCTCCTGTATTGAGGACTCCACATCTGGATGCAGTCCTCCAGGAGAGGTCTCACCAGCACAGAGTAGAGGGGCAGGATCACCTCCCTCAACCCTGCTGGCCACGCTTCCTTCAATGCAGCCCAGGATATGGTTGGCATTCTGGGCTGCAAGGGCACATTGTTGGCTCATGTTCAGCTTGCCATCCACCAGTACTCCCTGGTACCTTCCAGGGAGGCAAGGCTACACTCAGTCCTTTTATCCCCCAGTTTGTATTGGTAATGAGGGTTGCTGAGACCCAGGTGCAAGATCTTGCATTTGGATTTGTTGAACCTCATGAGGTTCACCTGGGCCCACTGCTGAAGCCTGTCTAGGTCCTTCTGAATGGCATCCATCCTTCTGGTGTGTTGACCACACCTCGCTGCTTGATGTCATCAGCAGACTTGCTGAGGGTGCACTCAACCCTACTGTCAGTGTCACTGATGAAGATATTAAAGAGTATCAGTCTCAGCATTGCTCACTGTGGGACGCCACTTGTCACTGATCTCCGTCCAGATATGGAGCCACCACTCTCTGGACTTGATCCTGCAGCCACTTCTTCATCCATTGAATAGTCCACCCAATAAGTCCATTTCTGATCTTTTTATTTCTTAGAGCAACATTTAGGTGTCAACTATGGAAAAAAACAAAACAGCACAGTTCTCACTTGGGCTAAGTCTAAGAAAATTAATTTCTGAGAAAGCTGTCCTTCCACTAGAATAATTTGATACTGGCCAGCAGTTATTATTTTAGACATAAAGATAGATAGCTTACCTTTGTAAGCTTTGTTTCCCTTCAGTAGTTTAGAATTTAAGAGATTCAGTGTTCTTAAGTAAGCAAAGAGAAGCTGATGAGTATCTCCTGCACCAGGTGTTTTTAATCTTAAAATAGAATTGGATGTATGGTAGAAACAGTAAGAAAAACATCAGCTCAGGTTTTTTTACCTTTTATGTAAATCAACTTGGTGAGCTTGGTAAGAAGCTTACAATTCCTTAGATCATTACAGTATTTCCTTGATAGTATATGAAATCATCACCTAAACAAATGCTTCAAATTATGTGTGTGGATGACACTGAATGGAAAAGAATACTTCAGTTGGAAGGGACCAGCAAAGATCATCTAGTCCAACTGGTTGCATACTTGAGAGCTAACCAAAAGTTAAAGCATATTATTGAGGGCCTTGACCAAGTGCCTTTTGGAACACTAATAGGCAAACTGCATGAGTTTCAATAGGGCCAAGCGTCCAGTCCTGCATTTTGGTCACAACAACCCCAGGCAACCCTACAGGCTTGGGGAGGAGTAGCTGGAAAGCTGCCTGATGGAAAGGGACCTTGGTGTATTGATGGACACTGGGCTGAATATGAGCCAGCAGTGTGCCCAGGAGGCCAAGAAGGCCAATGGCATCCTGGCTTGTATCAGGAATGGTATGGTGAGCAGGGAGGTAATCCTGCTCCTGTAGTCAGCATTGGTGAGGCCTCACCTCGAGTACTATGTTCAGTTTTGGGCACCTCAGTACAGAAAGGACATGGAGGTGCTGGAGCAGGTTCAAAGGAGGGCAACAAGGCTTGTGAGGGGCTTGGAGAATATGGCCTGCGAGGAAAGACTGAAGGAACTGGGGCTGTTCAGTCTGGGGAAAAGGAGGCTGAGGGGAGACCTTGTTGCTCTCTGCCAATATCTGAAAGGTGCTTACAGCGAGAGCGGGGCTGGTCTGTTCTCACTGGTGACAGATGACAGGATGAGGGGAAATGGCCTCAAGTTTCACCAAGGTAAGTTTAGGTTGGATATCAGGAAACACTTCTTTACAGTAAGGGTTGTTAAGCACTGGAATAGGCTCCCCAGGGAGGTGGTTGAGTCACCATCCCTGGATGTGTTTGAAAACAGTTTGGATGTGGTGCTCAGAGATTTAGCAGAGGGTTGTTAGAGATAGGGTAGTGTGGTTAGGCTATGGTTGGACTTGTTGATCTTTAAGGTCTTTTCCAACCTGAGCGATTCTATGATTCTAGGCATCAACTACCTTGCTAGAGCCCTGGTCCAGTCTTTCATCACCATCATTGGTAAGGAAATTTTTCCTAATGTCCAGTGTGAACCTACCCTGGTACAGTGTCATGCCACTCCTGCATGTCCTGTCATCTGTTACCAGGGTGAATAGGGATCACCTCCCTCTGTTCTTCCCCTCTCCAAGAAGTTGCAGAGAGCAATGAGGTTATATCTCAGCCTCCTTTTCTCCAAATTGGACAACCCAAGTGTTCTCAGCCTCTCCTCATAGGATATGCTTTTCAGCCTTTTTACCATCTTCATTGCCCTCCTCTGGATACTTTCAAGTATCTTAACATCCTTTTAACATTCTTTGCAGTGAAAAGTTTATATAGAATCCCTGTGAGGGCCAAAACCAGTTACAAATAATGAGGATTTCAAGTTGTATCTATATGTATTTAGGAGCATCAAAAATATCTTCCAATATGAAAAGTACATTTCCATTGCTTTATTTATTCAGATATTCAGGGCTTCAAGTGATGAGATTTCTGAGTGCTTCATTTATGAGAGTAATGTAATACTTGATCAATTTTCATATACTTTTGGAGGGCTGAAGGCAGGAGGTAAAGACAACACAGCATATTATTCATTCTAACCTCTGTACATTTTTGATAGAACAAAAATTAGTAGGAAAATAGACCTTCAGTGAGAGCTTACTGCCATGCTGTTTCAATTAAGAAAAAATTCTGAAGTAATTTAACTTAGAGTGTCATTGAGATTATAGGTGTATTGAGATAATTTAAATTAAGAACATGCTGTCTTGTTTTTTAGCATCTGGTAGATGGCATCTGGTTTCAGCTTAACAACCAAGGTTTATTATTTTAAAACAGGATTTGAACAGATGGAGCACATATAGTATTAAGGTGGCTAATATTTTCAACTTGTGCTTCTATTCATGTTTTATAAATATTTTTAAACAAAATGTATATTTTTTTCAAGGAGCTTCTA